GTTGAAAAAAAAAAATAAATAAATAATAATAAAACTGAGAGCGAGTGAAAAAAAGCAAAAACAATGAGCCGAAACAAAAAGAAAACTAATCTTTGATTTGATTTTTATAGCTTTTGTCTATACGCTGCTAAGAAACTAAAAATAAAATTGGTATGCATGAATTTTGCCATTTTTCCATTTATTTGGCTAATTTCTTGGCGTTTCACGCTGCATTCACATCAAAGCCAAATTAATTGATGTCACCAAAAACAAGCTGCTGACACAAAGATTTATGCGCCGTTGCGCCTCACACGAGGCAGACGGCATTTGGCAAGACGTGCTTGAAATTCTGATTGGCCGGGAGACCACTAAGAGCGTTATTAAATTCATATATGTTTATGGTAAGTGTATAAATTATTTATTGCTGAATTAAACGAAACAAAAACAAATCGCCAACCTAACAAAATTATGAATGCATAGCATTATCATTTTCAGCCCAGCATCCAAGCCGATCGTTCGTTTGGCTAATATACGCATAAAGATGCCGACTTCAGAGTCTTTCTTCACGGCTGACAATTAAGAGCTGTCACAACCAATGGCACAAACACATCCGTAATGTTGTGAATTATTTTTGATATTTTTATTTAATTTTCATTGCTAATTATGGGATTCACAAAGTGGGCAATAAAATAGTAAATTCATAAATTAATAATAAAAACTGCGCACATTTCCCAGCTGCCTGCGACCTTTTTTCGCAGCCAATTCGAATGTGATTTTGATTTTGTTTTTGATTTCTAATAAATAATTATCACGCCCATTTGCTGGGCAGAAAAATTCATTAGGCTGAAAACGCACAAATTTCTCACTTGATTATAGGCCACAAGGCCTCCCTCGGCCCATTTCGATTGTTGGGTTTCTATCAGAAGGGTCGACGCGTCGCTGTTGCGGCTGCGGCCGGCTGCTGCCACATGCGGCGTAATTAAATTTCCTTTGTTGCCTGGGAATTCGCTACGATTTTAATTGTCGATTGGCGCTGATGTGGCCTACGGCGCTCCAATAGGCCCTCATTTGGGCCAGTCCCTGGGCCGGGCCCTTCCGCTACAATTAGCAATTTCATGCGTCGTTTTTGTCTATTTTTTGGTGCTGTAATGTGTGAAATTGATTATGGCTGGCAATTGGGCTTATAAACGGCCAAAGCTTTTCCCACTTGTATTCGATTCAGTTCGGGCATTTTTTTCCTCTTATTTATTGTCTGGGAAACGATTTGAGCTGTGTTAATTGCAAATGGCTGGGTGAGTTGGGTATTAAATGGATTGAGATGCCGCTAGTTGTGCCACTCATAAGAAGTTACCGAAAAATGTGATCTCATGCCTGTGGCAGTGCCTGTGCCACAATGTCCACTGCGAAGCACTTTATGCATCATTACGTGGTGCAATTTGCAACATCTGCAAAGCATTTGCGAGCTCTTTGAAGTGGTTTTTATCAAAAGCTAACTCAATGTCGCCGATGCCTGGACTCTCGGCTGCCTCGAGGCATTATAACACTCGTAATATGAGCAACAGCCACATTCAAATGACACTAACGGTTCTGTCTGTCCATCTCCTAGTCTGTGTGAGCGCCAGTAATCATGTTTTAACGACACTCACACACACACACACACAAGCACTCATATGCAGACTTACAGGCGCGTCATCTGCGAGTTCATATAGAAATCTTGTAATCTGATAGGCATGACAAGAAATATTTTGCTTGTCATTAAATTTACTTTTATTTATGCAGCAGCGCTGATTGTTTGCTGTTTGTTGTTGTTGTTGTTGTTGGTTTTTCTGGCGTAGCTGTTGTTGTTTTATTCGCGTGTTTTGTTTCGCAGCAACTCGAAATTAGTGAAAACTCTTCACATTTGTGGCATGAAGTTGGCTTAGGACACACTGAAAACAAATAGCAAACCAAAATGTATGCATATTGTGTTGGCGCCTTGTATCGTCTGCCAAGCTCATTGATTTTGGCTAAAGTTGCTGTTGTTGTTGGTTTTCTTTGCTGTTTGTTGTTGTTGTTGTTGTATTGCGTAATAGACGAAATATTTGCGCATGCCTCATTACAGTTGGTTTGGTTGCCGTAATCGACGCGGGCGCAGTATAAGCGAAATATTCCGGGAATTCCAACTGGTATGGCGAAACAAAAGACTTAGGCAACAAACTTGCGCGTCGCTCAGCTGCTTAGAATTAGCAAAAGTTGTCGCTGTGTATTGTATGCTGCACAACGGATCCAGCCGGATAAGTGCGTGACATTTACGGTGCCTGGCATTGCACTGGCAGCTGATGACGGCGATGACATCAGAGATCAACATCAAATGTCAGTCAAGTGCGTCATCGATTCTACAAACAAAGGGCAGCAAAGCGTTTAGCTGGAAATCGAAGCGTTTGCAGTAGCCAAATGGGCACTAAATAAGACTGACAGCCCCACTGACTGACTGCCTGACTGACTGCCTGACGGATGGACCAGCTGACAGACATGCAAGTGATCAGCAAATGAGTGACAGACGCATAGACAGACGGACAGACAGACAGTCTGTCGCCGCTTAGACAACATGTGTAATGACGCGAAACTGTGTGCAAAAACCACAGCAACAGCAGCAGCAGCAGCAGCAGCAACAGCAACAACAATAGCTGGCATAATGAGCACAATTACAGGCAAAGCAAATCAAATGCAACGCGTTACGAGTCGCACTTTGAATCAGTCACAATAATTGCACGGGCAAAAAAGGTTCATAAATTATGGCAGTAGAAAAAAGAATTAATTAAAAAAAAAAAAAAACATAAAATGCATGGCAAGAGCAAAAGCAGAAAAAACTGGCAACGGTAACAAATGCAAAGCCACAAATGAAATTAAACTTGAGCAGAAAAAAAATGCAGCCAGACGGCTATTAAGAAAATTTCTTGTTGACTCATCCATCTAACCAGGCAGGCAGACGGGCGGCGGCGGCCCACAATTAACAACCCAGAGTCAGAGTCAGAAGCAGAGGCAGAGTCAGAGTCTGGGCAGCTACCAAGAAATTGTCAGCCAACATTTCTTGAACTCATTTGCGGCGTTTTGTATCAGAGCTCGGCAATTTCTTTGTCAGCGCTGCAATTAAACCATTGCCGACTTTGTTGTTGTTGCTTTAACTGTTACTGATGCATCTGTTATTGTTGCTGCTGTTGATGTTGCTGTTACTGTTGCTGCTGTTGTTGTTGTTGCTGACAATAAATTAAATTTAATGCGCTTTATGTACTGAGCGAAGCACACGCCCAATTGGAGCTGGAATCGGAATCTCGTGACTTGTGTTTCGCAATTGTGAGAATTAAATAATTCTTTGCATATTTATTTGCAAGTGACTTTTGCACACTTTATGTAATTTCCTTACTCTTAATTAAATATTTTTTGCTGCTTTGCTTTAATTATAGCTTTATAATTGATTTGGTAGCACATAAAAAATATGAAGTCAATAAAAGCACAGGTCGAAGTATAGCATATAAAAATACCCTACGATATGATAAAGCGCCTAATATATAATATGTATTGATTAACCAAAAAAAAAAAAAAAAAAAAACACAAAAAAAAAAAAAAAAAAAAAAAAAAATATATATATATATATTTTTTTTTATTTATTTATTTATTTATTTATTTATTTATATACATATTTTATATATTGTATATTCTTCTTCTATATTTTATTTTTTTTTATTTTCTTATACTGAAAATATGATTATATACAAATATATTGTTGAGACGTACAAAAAATAATTAAATTCATGAAAATAATTTTTTTTCTTAATTTCTGCTAAATTTTTTTATATATTTTAGGATGTGGTGTAGAAAACATATTTAAATATTGTTCGATCGAAGAAGTAGGCTAACTTATTAATATTACAAATATGCTCCATACATGGAGTGACTGTCCTACGATTCCGATTTTTTTTATGAAAAATATGTATTTAAAAATTGAATTGTTTGCTCTATATTTATTTATGTTAAAAACACTCTGCGATTCTCTATAAAATATTATGTTAAAGTGAATAATTTGTATATTTTTCCAGGCAGTTAAGAAGTAATTAAAATACTGCACTATTATTTCCGCTTTTGAATGTATTTCCCTTAATTTGTTTAGAATAAATTTTAGAAAAGCTATAAGAGATATATATATTTATTTATATAATGTATATACCTATATTGAATATTCATTTGTTTATATTTGAGCATAGTCGCATTTTACATTTGTTTCGCGCTGTGCGAATAAATATTTAAATTGCATTTCAATTAGGCGTGCCAGCTAAAACGTTTTTCCAATAAATTGCATCACCAGACTTTAACATACACTAGCTCTGACGATTGGACGGACGAACCAACCGACAGAAAGACAGTCAGACAGAGCGGCAGACAGACAGAGGCTAGCAATCAGCTGCTGTTGCTGTTGATTCGTCTATTGTTAAAGTGTTGAAGTGTTTTTATTTAAATTGCTCAACTGAACTTGTAATTATGGCGCGCTTTTTTGTTGCTGTTGCTGCTGCTGTTGCTGCTGTTGCTGCTCTAGCTGCTGATATTGGCCGGACAGAGTCTGCTCTTTGAGCTTTTTACATAAAGCTAGGAAATGACAGCGAGCGTCGTCTTAAAAGCCAAGTGGCCTGTTTGTAGTTGATGTTTTCTCTCTCAAATCACTGCAATTAATTGTTGTGGCAAACTTTTAAATAACGGTTTTATAGCCAAACGCAGCACCAACAGAGACAGAGGCAGCAGCAGCAGCAGTAGCAAAAGCAAAATCAAAGGCAACAACAACAATAATAACAACAAACACGGCAGCTGTTTTGTTTGTTAATTGTAATTGAAATCGTTGCGTCTGTTAATTGATGAATCTGCGGCTCTGTCAGGGAGTCTGTGCATCTAGTTGGCCGCTGCAGCACATAAAGTGCAATTAAAGACGCATAAAAGCAAAGCAGAGACGACTAAATAATAACTATGAACGAATTGAAGACAATTACACTTACCCCAGCTCGATTCGAATGAACAGCAATTAGCGCTCTCGCTCTCGCACACGCACTCGAGGCTCTCTGTTTTATTTTTTAGTTTTGTTTTTTATTATTTTGATTGGAACTATTATTTGGATTTGTCTGGCACTGGCATTTAGCTGATTGAGATTCTTGGAGGAATATACGCACACATGGGCACGAACACACACGCGCACACACACGCACGCACACACACAGTCAAACACTTGCAACTATCCAGCTTGGCAAATCTCAATCTTTGAAACACGGATGTGACCGTCGCGTCGCGACGTCAGTGCAACAGTTGCAAAAAGCAGCACGTGAAATATTTATGTAAATTTATTTGGTTTCTTTTCTTTTCTGTTGTTATTGTTGCTGTCGTCGTTGCTGTAGTTGTTGTTGCAGTTGTTGGTGTTTTTGTGTGCGGCAGTAAAATGCATTTGGAAACATTAAGAGGCACACTTTGCAATTGTCGTTTGGGGCGCTGCGATTTGATTAAAGCTGAAGCCACACAACTCAGCCAGCCGACGAGCTGCTGTCCGGCGATTGTTTTTGTTGTCGTTGTTGTTGTTGTTTTTGCTTGCTAGCTGGTCGCTTGTTGCCAGCTGTTTGTGTTTGTGGCAGGCAGGATTTGACTTGTCAATTAGTTTGTTACTTGTTGCATTTTGTTGCTGCCGACATTGCTGTTGTTGTTGTTATTGTTGTTGCTATTATTATTGTTGGTGCTGTTGCTGTTGCTGTTGTTCGTTTTGCTGCTATCACTCGAAGCACCGTTATCTGGCGCAACTCTCTCAACACTCAATACTAAACCACATAATGCAGGCGAGTAATGAAACGGCAGCAAGTTCGTTGCCTAAGTCTTTTGTTTAGCAGCGCGCCTGTCACGTTGTTATCGCTTCTGTTGTTAGGCTTCTACTACTACTAGCATATATATTTTAATTTCTTATTTTTTGTTTTTGTTTTTTTATTTCTGTAATTTTTTTTATTTTTAAATCGTTAACTTTTTTATCGCATCATGTTTTTCTATATACAATATAATTAATTTGCTGATATTTTTCTTTTTACTGCACGCTTTTTATGTGATCTTTTGGCGGCAATTAAAATTAATTTAATTTAATTTGTTTTATATTTGTTACTGCGCGACGCCGTTGATGGAAACAAGTTTGTCTTTTTGATTACATTACCATGTGTATAACTTATGTGGATATACACACGCACACTCACGTATATATATAGTTATATACATAGTCGTCTGGTATTTGGACGAAGGGCATATTCCATGTACACTCTGATTCACATACACGAATGTGATACATGCAGACGTACATGTGTTTGCATGTGTATGTGTATTAATTTGGTTTTATGGCAGCAGTGAATTGCTTTTAACTGTTGCTTGTTTGGCTGCTTTTATGAGTGATTTGGGTTTCGGAGTAGCCACAGATGGCTAAACATTAAAAATTTTAAGCTTTTGATGCAGCTGCAAACATTATTTGCTATGCGTTATGAATGCAGTTCGTTGGCTCGATGGCTCGCTAGCTCGTTGGCCAACTGTTGCGCTAAGAGACGCACGCAAATCGCATGCAAAACGAACGCAAATCGCAACTGAAACGCGCGCACGCGACTGCGAAAACGCGTGAACAAAACAGCACAAAAAACCCAAGTTTTTTGCAACGCGCGCAAACGCAAAAAGTTTAAACAGTCCCGCAAGAAAGTCGCACAGAAACTGCAAGAGGATGAAAACTGCAGGCAGCTCGCAGCTCCCAGCGCAGCCGAAGTTGCGGCAGCAGCAGCAGCAGCAGCAGCAGCAGTTGAGTGCAATTGCCGTTGCCGTTGCCGGTGCAGCAGCAGAAATAACAATAACAACAGCTACGGCAAGACCAACAACAACAACAAGTTGCAAAACACCAACGAAGCGCAGCGAGCAAAAATCGCCAAGCAAAAAAGTGGCAAAATAGCAACAACCTCTCAAAGACCGACTGACCGAGTAATACAGTCCAGCAGCAGCAGCAGCAGCAACAATAACAAAAGCCAACAGCCAGGCAGCCAGGGCTTACGATTGAGGAGCCGAGCTCGAGCATACGAACCTGGGAGCAACGGCAAAAAAGCCGCTAAAACTCAAAAACCTGTTCAGCTGGCTGCGGTCGCCGTTTGGTCTCTCTGCCAGCGTCGTTCGTTGCTTCGTTTATCGCCGATCGACGACGCTCTCTGCCAACTCGCAAGCTCTCTGCACCAGCAGCTCCAGCAGAACCAACAGCACCAGCTGGCTCTCTCCCTCTCTCTCGGTCGCTCTCTCTCTCGCTATGGCGTTGTTGAGTTTCGTTGGTGATTTTCCAGTCTGACGCTCTGCCTGGCTGACCTAGCGGTTCATTTCCAACTCGCAGCTGCGCTATCAGTTGCCGATCAGCTTTTGACCAATAAAAAGAGGTTTCGGCGACGTCGCTGGAAGGCGTCGCAGTCGCCGCAACAGCCGCTGCTGACTGCGGCGCTCAGCGAGCGCGAGCGAAACTCTTTGAAAGAGAACAAGAAGAGTTGGCTTTAAAAAAAAGAAAAAACACACGAAAACGTTAAGAGAATCAACCTGAGGCCCGCTGGCCATTTGGTTGATAAGAAATTGAATAAAATTATATGAATTTTATTAGCTGAAACGCGTCAAGTCTTTTTGTTTTTATTTCGTACAGTTTATGGCATAATTTCGCAGGTAATTCCACAAACGCCTCTCGACAAGTTCAAGCCGAATCGTATCAAGGCTCATTTATCAGCACATAAAAAATTGCCAATTTTCTGGTGAGAAACCAACTTGCCAAGCGGAATAAAAACAGCTAAGAGAAGCAACAAAAAATAAAAAATAAAGAAAAGCAAAATATATATAAAGCTGTTGTTACGGCTGCTGCTCAACTGCTTTGTGATTAAAATCATAATTGAAATGCGCCCCTTTCTGCTAACTGGCTAAGCAGACAAGGACAGCAAACAGCCAAGCAGCAGCAGCAGCAGCAACAGCTACAGCACTAACAACAACTGTGACACTTGCCACGCGTCAATGTCAAAGGCCTGCGCTTGACAATTTAATTGTCACACGCCCGCCGCTTTTGGTCAGCACACGAACTCGCTGCCGGGGTTCGAGCTCGAACTCTATTAACGATGCCAATTGACGGACACTTGAATGCAGCCCGACTGTCAGTGTGTGTGTGTGCTGAGAGAGAGATCGAGAGAGAGAGTGGGGGTAGAAGGGAGTTGCAACTCGAACTTTGCATTAACATAAACAGAGAAGAGAAGGGGGCGTCCATAACAGCAAAAGAAACATCTTGAACATTGTCATAAATAACGCGCCAATGACAACTTGTTCGGTCGCCGGCTGGGATTGGGATCGGGACTGGGACTGGGCACTGGCACTGGCACTGGGACTGGGACTGGCACTGGCACTGGGACTGGAGCTGACACAGCGACTGGGACTGCCTGCTCTAATGCTGGCAATTGACGTGCGGCGTTTGCACCTACTTGGTTTTTGATGCAACAGCAGCTGAGGCAGCGGGGGGAGCAGAGGCAGCAGTCCGGCTGCTCCCCAGGCGGAGGCCACATAAAAGTGGCGCGGCAATTGCCAACTTTGGTCAATGGCGGCGACAAGTGTAAAACGACTGTCGATGGCGGCAAACTGCAACAGCAACAACAACAACAGCAACAACTACAGCAACAGCATCAATATCAGCTCCTGCTTTAGCTTGGTTTTGGCCTGATCTGGTCTGCTCCTTTCAGCTATCGTCGACACGTTGACGGCGTGTTTGTGTGTTTATGGCAGCTGCCGTTTGATACTCATTCAAGTGCCGCCTAACATGATTTCGGTGTCATCTGCTTTTCAGCTTTAATATTGCCTGTTTAATGTGACATTTCGTAGCTGCATCTTGTTGCTGCCTCCTGCATTATTTATGAGAGTCAACAGCATCTCTAGCATTTCCCCATGCAGGAATCTTAAATGTTTTTTAATTTAGTGATGATTGATGTCTTGTCCACGTTGCCTTGACAACGCGACACACTTGACGCAGCGACGGCGACGTCGACTTCATCTGATTGCCATTGACTGCTGCCTGTTGCTGCTGCTGCCTATTGGGGATACGCAGCCAAAGTGGACGTCAGCACAAAAGTCAATTAAGCTGCGATTTAAATGCAGCCAGGGTCAATGTCAATGGCTGCTGACTAGAAAGGCGCGCACACCAAAGCCACCAAATGCCAGCCAGATTTGGCCAAAGCGCTCTTTGGCTACGTGCTGCTGCCCATTGTGCCCCATTTGACCTGATTTTATTTGCAGTATTTTACTTTTATTACTATACTGTATACTGTGCTCGGCACACTGATGCGGAACTGAATTCGAAATGAAATTGCAACCACAAATTGCGCGGCGGCCCATCGACAATTTCATTTTTCTCAATGCAGTCGAGTTCAAAAGGTTTGCCAAATTATAAATTAAAAGTAAATCGAATCGAATGCGCGCCCATTTGTCTCTGAACTTGAAAGTGCCTGCTGCTGCTAGTGGTGCTGCTGCTGCTCCTAGTCTCTTGTGAAAGTCAGGTTTGGGGTCAGGCCTAGACAGAGCGAGCGCCATTCAGCAGGTGCATGCCAAATCCGTTTGTCAGCGCTTAACGTCGCGTGTGTTTTTCCAGCTTGTTCTAATTTGCATGCAGCAAACGGAACTGAAGCCGGACTGCCATCGACATCGATGTCTGCCACATGCCATGACGAACTACTTGACACTGGCTCGACTCGAAAGATCCGCACACACACATACACATATGGGCACAGAAATGCGCATAGTCAGCATCCAGTTGTCGCGCTGTGTGGGCGGACTCAGCGCGCCAGTGGCACGCCAAAACGTTTGCGTTTGCGATTGCGATTGCCGCAATCTCAATTCATAATGATTATGCCGGCCATTAGCAGAGCGAGCATCGACAGCAGCCTCCGCCAGCAGCTTCATTGCTAATTACAATTGCCTGACAACGCCGAATGGTCGAATGGTTTTACGAGGACATCGGCTCTGGCCGCGCTGATTTATGCCCACGCATTGCCATCGGCTGTCATTGGCTGTGGGCCATTTGGCTGTCAGGTTTTAGTGCGTACATCACTCATTGTTACAGTTAGAGAGTTGGCGGCTCTAATTTAATTTAAATGAAACTCTCTGCAGCACAGGAAAATAAACACCCGCGCCCGCCAGCTGCACATTTGTCTGCCAGCGGCTGCAGCAGCAGCAGCGACTGCGAGTGCAACTGCGGCTGCGACTGCAGCAGCGATGGCGACTGCGACTGCAAGCTGGGCAAACGGATCTTGGTCCACATCCACTCGGCTGTCGGCTGCTGCAGCTTGACTAGGTGAAATTTTGAGCTGACGTGGGCGTTTGTAATATTTTCAGTTTTATGGCCGTCGTTCACAATGCACTTCAATTTTGTGTCTCTCGGCGGGCAAACATCACATTGCATAGCATTGGACTGCACTGCATTGCAATGGCCGAACTGGCATGGCCATTAACCCATTAAAATGTACCTGCAGCTCGACATCAAGCTGAGTCCTCAATTGCAATTCATGTCCGAGCACGAGATGCCAAATAAAAACTGCGACACATCCAAAGCAAGACTCCAAATAAAAACTCTAAAACACTAATGAATGAATGGTATTTATTATTAGATTTACAACAGAAACTTAATAAATAGTACTCATAATATAACCATTACCTTTAATTTACTACCCATGCACGTTACCAACCCATACACTAAGATTTACGTAGAAAAGGTTAAAATTAAGCTTGACTCTTATTTTTGTGATTTACCTTTTTTTATGCATTATTATGTATTGTCATATTAAATAAAAGTGGAGTAAATCAAAGCAAACAGAAGATTTCTATTATTCACAATAAATTGTAAAAATAAAAAGAGTGAAAAAAATAAAAAAATTTTAAACCAAATGATTTCTTAATTGACAATAAATTGTGAGTAAAAAAAAAAATT